CTAATTAATTTTTGTACTCCAGAATTCATCATTTCTATACTACTTATACAAAATAAAATTACAAAAGCTTCTTGCAATCTGAAAAACACATTTCAAATAATGGTTCGTTAAGTTTATAAATAAAAACTTGTAATGTTTTTCAAGCTAATTTAGTTCAACAACTAGGGGCTTAACATTTCCGGCAACATTTAAAATTTAGGTAGCGCTATTTGTTATTATATATTATAATTTATAACTTTGTAGATTTTTAATTAGTGTAAAATAGAAAAATGGTCATTTCGACTGTCAAACAGAAAAATTGTAAACGATAACAACGAGTAAATTTGCTATAAAGTTCAACCGTACTTGAGGTATGACACAAGTCTTCTTCTTTATCTATCCACACCAACGACCTTTAATCACTAAGCTTCAGTACCACATTTCCTAATATCGAAAACTCCTTGCAACATTTGAGAAATTTTGACATAATGCACAAGCTATTAACTCACTAAGCTTTACAGAAGAGAACATGAACGAAATCGCAACTCTCTCTAACACACACACACATACACACACACACAGAGAGAGAGAGATAGGAAGAGAGGGAGACACACACACACAGACTAAAACACTAACATCCATATACACAAAGAAAATATCCGAATTTTTTGCATTTTTCGACGTTTTAAGTTCTCCGAAGTCCAAAAATGTAAAATCTGTGGGAGAGTCATTTTTTCACTAAGCGCCACAGTGTTCTTCTCTTACATATAACAAAACTGGAAAAATAATAGATGACTAAATAATTTTAAAACAGTCTATTTTATTTAGAATCGTCACTTTTACATTTTTAATAGATAACGATGTATGCTATAAAAGACGTATATAATCGTCACTTTTACATTTTTAATAGATAACGATGTATGCTATAAAAGCGTATCTCTTTGACTTCGTTTGATTGTATAAGTTTTCTCGTATATATCAAAATATAATAAGTATCGTGGTGTATCGAAAATTATGCACTTGTTTTACAAAGAATAATACAAATAAATTTTATGTCATGAATTTTGAAGTCACCAAATGGTGTATTCTAATTCGTTTGCCTATTTTAAAATTATATTTAAGCACTTAAACATCAATTTCGTTGCATCGTGCCCACAGGTGGATGACGCAGTGTGCCTCGATTACGAAAATCTAATTATGAGGCTTTTTATTAACAACATAAAAATTAAAGCCACTTATATCTTCTTGCACGATTTTTATACAATCATGCAACACAAACATTCTTGTTATACATAGAAGCACAATACTTAGAAAATAAGAAAATTCTGACACTGATGAAAATTCTTACACTTGTTTAAGGTCATAAGTTGTCTTTTTAGATTAGTAAGTTATTCATTAGACATAAACACTGTTCTTTCACTACCACAATACATTATTCATGATTTAGACAAAACCCCGTATAATCAAGTGAACGTTTGCCTAAAAGTAGTAACTTCTAGCAATTTCCCTGCATTCCTTGGGTTCTATTGATGTATTCACAAAAAAGATCATGTCTCAATGTTACAGTAAACTTTTGAGACTTCAAATCCATCTTATGACTTCCATGTGCAAATTTTTTTGAACTGAAAAAGCAGTGTTTTAACAGCCAACGCATTACTTCACACAGCTAAATTTTTGCAAACGTGGTTTGATTAACATCGGGATAAACTTAAGCATCTTCCTTACCATAAACAATCACCACACACTCACAAAGATATGAAAAATTAAAATATTTCCTTACATTTACAACTTTTGATGTGCTTCTTGTTCTTTGTTTTATATACAAAATATGAAACAATATTTTATAAAAAAATAACCTGAAATCTAAAGTGTAAGATTAAGTATTAAAACAATAAGAGAATAAAAACTAAAAATATAATAAAATTCAACAGCACTTAACAATAATATTGTTTAGTAATAACAACTATTTTAATTAGGAGTGTCCAACGATTCATATGTTTGGAGAGTTGCTGGAAATGGGGTAAAAAATTGTGTTACTGTATAAGAAAATAATAATAATAATAAATGGCTTATAAATAATCTTATACTTTCGTTTCTCAGTATGCAATGTTTATGACATATGATGAAACTAAAAGACAAATAACAGGTGGAAAATTATTTCCACTTTTTAAAGTTATCCAAGAGAAACAAAAATTTAGGTAAGTGGCATCCTATTATTAATCTCAAACAAAGTAAATTACATTTAATCCTAAAACTTTAACATTACATATACTCGAGTTTATGTACTTTTTACTGTTACTTTTAATGATTGAAAATATTGTTTTGGTGTAGTTTTAAATAATTTAAAAAATTATAAAAATTGTTATTTAATTTATATAAATTGTTAATTATAATAATAAATATTTTTATTATCAATGTTATTAATCGTTCTGATTTCGTTTTAAACTTAAAAAACAACAACTAGTCAATTATAGAATACTACAACTCTTAAGTGCATTAAATTTCTAATTTAAAGAAATTATTTATAGCATTCAAATGTCAACATTACNAGTGGCATCCTTTTATTAATCTCAAACAAAGTAAATTACATTTAATCCTAGAACTTTAACATTACATATACTCGAGTTTATGTACTTTTTACTGTTACTTTTAATGATAGAAAATATTGTTTTGGTGTAGTTTTTAACTAATTTAAAAAATTATAAAAATTGTTATTTAATTTATATAAACTGTTAATTATAATAATAAATATTTTTATTATCAATGTTATTAATCGTTCTGATTTCGTTTTAAACTTAAAAAACAACAACTAGTCAATTATAGAATACTACAACTCTTAAGTGCATTAAATTTCTAATTTAAAGAAATTATTTATAGCATTCAAATGTCAACATTACTTAATAAAAAAACTAATGGAATATTAATTAAAAGTTCATACTTCTGTTCGTGTAGTCAGTAAAATCAGTTTATGAATTTTTCGCAAATATTCAGAGATAAGAATGTTTCTTCCAACCTTGTCTGCAGGAAGAATTATAGTTCCACTCTATACGTATCTGACATCCAAAAAAGAGATAAAAAACATTATTAGTTCAAGAAACCTTACACACAATAAATTTAAAAAATAAAAAATTAATTAATGTAAACGAATAAGTGGCTGCCTCGAGCCGTACACTTAAATAAGAAAACATTACTAAACGATAGAAATTTTTAAGATTAATCAAATCAAACATGTCTGTACAAAGAAGTCGTGAATATAAAAGTCAGAAAAAGTGACTATAAAAGTTAATTCAACAGAACCGAAATACAAATACAAAACATAAAATTTTGAAAAAAAACGTCTTGCATGTGTCATGGTACATTAGAAAGAGAACGATAGAACATTGATATTAGAAAACTGCAAAACAATGTACAGATCAGCAGAATAATAAACAAATGGAGGAAATTACTTTCAATTAGTACTGGGAGGAAAGAAAAGTCAGTGTAAAATACGAAAAAAATAAAACAATTAAAGTTAATTTCTTAATATGATTAGTCCATATCTTCTAGTGAAAATACAGTAGAGCGTCGTTCATCCGAAAGTGAATTATCCGAAACGTCAATTATCCTAAATCAATTATATTCAGTTGTAATTATAACAAAATTTTTCAATGAGACAATTCAGTATCTGAATAAATTTCACTATACTTAGTAAAAAAAAAAAAATGATGCAAATGACATTAATCCTCATTAATTTACGATAAATATATTTTCAGCCAATAGATGGCGACACGATCTATAAACAAATTTCTAACAAGTAAATTAAACGTAAGCAGAAATTTTTTTTTTACGAACACATTCATAAAAGAACTACATTCTTCTCTTGAAACTATCAAAACTATATTTCTTATCAAGAAATATGCAAGACATCTATTACTCGTCAAAAATATCCATTGAATATTTAACTATGTCTACGTAGATCAGAACTGCCTGACAAGATTTACAATAACAACATTGATTTTTTTACGCAAATTATAAACACAAAATTGTTGCAGATATGCCCGAAAAATTGTTTAAAAAAGAATAACTTCCCATGTATTCAATCATAAGATATTTATCTATTGCTAAAAATTCTAAAAAATACATTCTTCAACTTCATTATAACTTGCAGTTTTAAAGTGTAAAACTCATTAATATATACTTTTTTTTTTTCTGATTACTGGTTAATTTATTTTGATTTAATTCGTAAATAAAATACTCTTCTTTTTGGCTATTACAGAAAATAATTTAAACTATATCTACAGTATAAATCTAGATGATACACACTGAATGGATAGTAGATCTAATGAAGATAAATGCTGAAAGAGAAAGATAAAAATTTTTTAAATATTGTTCTAATTTTCACTTTCGTTTGATAATTTGTTTACAAAATTTTTGTTTTTCTTAAAAATGAATTTTAAAGAGGCTGATTATAATGGTGATAAATTGATATCAAATTAATTAATATTAAATATCTCTAAGCTTTTTTCTTAATCTTTAAAAACATGAAAATAAATGAATAAAGTGTTATACAGTATTTCTAACCCATTGTATTAATTTTTTAAAGATTATTTTACTATAATTTATTAATAATTAATTCGCACAACTCAATATATAAACTTGCAAAAGGAATAAAGAATTTATNCCTGCATACCAGTATATTAGTAAAACTTTAATTAAGGTAATAATAATGATGATAATAGATGAATATATAAACTTGCAAAAGGAATAAAGAATTTATAAAAAATTTGATTTTACATTTAGCAGACATTCCAATGTTTTCTTAACTAATAATAATAAAAAATGTTAAAACATTAAATTATTTTAGAAATATTTTTGATAAACTAATCTAATAGTTTATTGTTTTACATTCAAATGAAGCATGTATGTTATAAATATATTTATTGTATATTTTAGAAATATTTTTGATAAACTAATCTAATAGTTTATTGTTTTACATTCAAATGAAGCATGTATGTTATAAATATATTTATTGTAGAATGATATATGCATTATCAAAGAAAATATTGTTAATTCATTGTTATATTGATCGTAAACAAACGTATTTAAATCTGTTACCACACATACTATAAAAGCATGTGTCAGAAATATAGGAATACAACAGAATGAAATATAACACAACTAAGCATTCTGACTTTTATTACTTCCTATAAATTTCAAAATTAAATGGAATAAAATGGTAACTATACAAATAATTAGTGATTAAAAAAGGACAGAACATCTGATATCTTCAAATAATAATTAGATAAAAAAATTCATTTATAAAAACTATGCATTTACGATATTAGAATATGAAATCAATAACAACATTTTTTAAAATTATTATTTTGTTAGTGGAAAAATTTCTGGTCTCAACAGCAAGACAAAGCATCTTAAATATAGGCCTATATCAAGGCTTAGGCAAATATATCACTGTATAAATTATTTATCAAAGGTAAATATCACTTCAAAGTTTACATTTTTGATAACTATAACCCATTTTGTAAATTTAGAATGGTGTGAGCTCTCTGGCTCTCTCATTTTTATGCCAATAATCTAAACTAAATTAAAATATTTTGCTCTTTACAAAGTTTAAAATTATTCCTACTACATTAAATACTGAATTTTAAGCAATTTATCATAATATAGTTTTTTATTTTACTCTCATTCAAATGTATCGCAATTTGTATTTCTATTTTTATTACTTACTGAATGGTCTATAGTTAACTATAATTTACGTTGGATGGAAGACGAAATGTTGAAAGCATATCAGAATCGAAATGGTACGATCGATTGATATTTAAAAAGAAAAAGAAAAAAAAACAAAGATCATGGATTTAGCGACTGTTTTTACTTATTTCACTTTTAATATAAAAAGCTCTAATATTCTAATCGGATTTTGTCAATTTTCAAGGTAAGATTGGAGTATTTCTATCAATTTATGATACAAAAATTAAACATAAACATAATTAAATATTTTTATACTAGCGAAAACAATAAATAATTCACATTTACATTCTGCAGAAAAGCTGCGATAATTGATATAAAGAAAAGGAAGAATTAATATTTATAAGTAAATTTCCACTAATATTTTCTATGACTTAATTTGTTTATTTAAAAATCATCATCAAATCTTCAAACTGCTTATAAAAATTTGTTATCTGCATTATATTTTGGAATTTTATCGAGCTAAAACAACTATAATAATACTTTTAAGATTAAAATACAGAAAATAATATATAAAAATTCATTTTAAAACTTTATATTTTAAATCAATTATATTCAGTTGTAATTATAACAAAATTTTTCAATGAGACAATTCAGTATCTGAATAAATTTCACTATACTTAGTAAAAAAAAAAAATGATGCAAATGACATTAATCCTCATTAATTTACGATAAATATATTTTCAGCCAATAGATGGCGACACGATCTATAAACAAATTTCTAACAAGTAAATTAAACGTAAGCAGAAATTTTTTTTTTACGAACACATTCATAANGGTCTGGAGTCGGTCGATAACGGACGATTACGCCACTGTTTATGTTCGTTCGCGCAGTTTTTGATGAGTCATATCATTCTTAACTTGGACGGAAATGAAATTTGTTACAACGTTGCACTTAGTCTTTCATATTTGTTGTTAGTAATTTAAAAGACATTTTGAAACACATACGGAACGATAATAATTTTTTAAAAATATAATAACACAAAAATGAAAAGGGAACTCAGGTACATCTATCGAGAGCCACAAATAATCCTTCAAATAGCCGCATGTGACTCGCGAGCCGCAGGTTGGCCACCCCTGGCATATAGTTTAATTTATAAACTGAACAAAATTCATTTATCTGATGCTAATAAAAATCATATGTTTTTCATACAGGACTTAAACTGGAAATTTAGCAAATTGTGTAAAATTATTTTTATTTAGTTATTTTGATAAAACTTAATTCACAATCATCACTAATAATTTTAATAGACTATCAGAATAAAAAGAAATTCAAATTCATAATTTATATTATTTTAATTTTACAGATTATATTCAATAAAAGCATTTATCAAGAATGCCATTTAAAATTTTTTAAACATAGATTTCAATTTATTATAAAAAGAATAACTTAATAAAAACTAAACCATAAATAAATATTCAAATAATTTTTCATATTTTAACAATGAATCTGGATGAACAAAAAAGTTAATTATTATATGTAAATTAAATAAATAATGATGTATAACTATGCAGCATAAAATATAATCATAAAAATATTCTTTATGACATTTGATAAATCTTTTATCATGAAATTCATATATTTATGACAGAAATATATAAAGCAACAATACTCAAGGTAAATGGGCCACAAAATTTTTATTTCAAGCATATAAAAAGAATATTTTTAAAGAACATCTGATATATGTACCATACACTACCAATTGTAAAAGTCAAAGAAAAAAAGCATTCCTTTCTTTAACTTGAAATAACTAAGATCAACTTACATATATTAGAGAATTGTATAATTTATAAAATCCTGATGTATAACTATGATGTATAACTAATGATGTATAACTTTTATAATCATTTAAGTTTGTTGCTTCAAATATCTTCATGGACCAGATTAAATTATATGATATGCTGGATCTGGTCTGCAAGCTATATAGTCTAGGTACAGTTGAAGTATAGTACAGTAGAATCCACTTATTGTAATACTTTTATGACTTATCTATACTAATAAAATAACCGTTTGATAACATTAACATAGTAAGTAAATGGGGCTACAGTTAGTTAAAATTATGATTTTATTGACTCTATCATTAAAAAGACAAACAAACAATTTAAAAATATATAACTTGAAGATTTATTAATTATAATTATTATTAGTAGTATTAACTCGCATGCTTTCAGACATGCTAATTCTAATAACTTATATGACTGATAACAATATTCATAATTACAATAAGTGTAGTCTATCATATTACAGTTGCTCACTTCATCCAATAAAAACATATTCTCATATATTATTAGAGGCATTTTAATATTTTTATTCATAATTATTCATCTAATTTGTTCAAACTATATTAATCACTGCATTAATTTAGTATATTTTAATTCAAAAACAATTGTGTCAAAGAAAAAATAAATACTTGTATAGATTTCCCATATTTATTTTAAATAAAATTAATTTTTTCTGTTAAAAAATATTAGGGCAATTCAACGTCTGTCCAGAATTTCAGTAATAGCAATGGAACTGTGTGTTATGTAGTTCCAATGTATTTATTTTTTCTCTAGATATTCCTCCTTACATGGATACTTTTATCATTTTGACAATGATAATATATCTGCAGAATAGAAGTATTTTGGCTGTGTTGGAGCCATTGCTTGACAAATTCTTTGACTTCAGAGAGTTCTTCATGCAGTGGCTCTTGTCTCTCAAGACTTCATTTAAAGGGTCAAATGGAATATAATTTCATGGTGTTAGATCCAGCTATAGGCCAAGTAATCAATTTCCTAATCAAGTCTGTTGATTGCCTCCACCATATGCAGAGGCATGCTCCTACACCTTCAAAATACTTCTATTCTGCATGCATATCTTCATGTCAGAACAATGAGAAAGTACCTAAAGAAGAAAAAAAAATCATTAATTGGGATTCTAATACACACAGTTATTGAAATTTTGAACAGAAGTTAAACTGCCCTTGCATATTAATATATCATATTCAATGAGATTTATCAATTCTTTCAAATTTCTTTGTAGGATTTTAAAGTTGATGATTATATATCTATTGCATATAGCCAGGGTGGCCAAGCTCCTTGATAGTCCGAGCCATTTTTCAAAATTTGAAATTTTTCGCGAGCCGCAATTAAATACGNTTTGTTTCAAGAAAAAATCCTATGGGCATGCTTGATATACAAGGTATATAAAAATTTATAAATTTTATTATGCATCTTAAATTATTAATAGTATTAAATACATAATACTGAATATGTAGTGTGAAATTAAATTAACTTGACACTACTAACCTATTACTATAACAACTTTTAATAATTATAATAAATTAATATTTGTAATGCATTTTCACTTTCCCCCATTTTCTTCATAAATTTTATATAATAGATTGCAAATTATTTACTTACAGAATATTTAACTGCATTTGGCGACGAATTAAAGCATTCTTTTTATTGACCAGAGTAAACCACTGTTGCATTAACTCTTCTTCTAATACACTATTTCCTAAATGTTAAAACATTAAATGTTATAATAAAAACAAATCTATTTTAATTAAACTAAAATAATAAATACTTCATTCAAAATATTAACCTGATTCCATTACTTTTCTTAATTTTTTTTCTAATTCTGCAGCATTTTTATCAATTTCCAATTGTTCTCTTTCTAATGCATCTAATTCATGATGAACATAGGAACTTTTTGATTTTATCTATTAATAAATACTGTAAATATATTAATATGAAAACACCACTAAATTCAAAAATATTTATAGCATTTTTTTACAGCATAATACAATATAAATGCTACATTTTTTTAATAAATAAAATACAATAAAAGACTTGATTGACATAAACATATATTACTTCAAAAATTACCTTTTAACATATTATATACTTATATGATAGCTATATCAAAGCAATAATTAAACATTCAAGTTTATCAAATCATACAAATTAATATTATATAAACCAAAATTTGCTTGTTTATTTAATTCATTATTAATCCACACTCATTTCACTCATTTAGGAAAGTTTTATCCCCTTTTTATATAGAGATCATTGATAGTAAGTTGTTCAGAAATTACATCATCAATCTGGAATTATGAAATATAATTTTTACACTGTCCAAATGATAAGTAGCTTCTCAATATAAGTAATAAAGAAGTAATTAAACCATAAAATAAGCTTTTTCTTAAATTATAAACATTTCCCAAATTACTAAAAAATATACAAACATTTCCCAGGAACTTCTGGAAAATTCCAGAAGGAAATATTCTGATAATTCAAGAAACCATATTATATACTGCTGTGAATTGTCTGCATGAAATTATGGTACTATATACATACATACATTTTTTTTTTTAAAGTTTATCCTCAGAAATTTTAAAATATATTTAGGAAGAACATTAAAAAGTTATTGTTTTCAAACAATCTGATTATCTCTACAGTAAAAAACTGGCTTTGAGTGAAAGTTCATAAAAGAAATCAAAATTTTATTCATTAGTACTAGCTTTTCAATGTACTGTGTTTTATTATTAGCTATTTAATTATAAGATCTATAAAATGTAAATTAGTCATAATTTGCATTGTTAATTAGGTTTAACTTGATAAAGGAAAAAAATCTAATAATAGAAAGTTATTTATTATGACATCATAACAATGCTGGGCTGCCATTTTAATCATATTTTTAATTTATTGAATTTAAAATATATGTTCACCTCAAATTATTAGTAGTGTCTTGTCCCTCTACATAATACTTTTCCTTTAACAAATGAGTTGTGCTGGTCATCTATTAACTGCTTTCAGGGAAATAGTTTTCAATTGAAATAATGTGGCTTCTGATTTGTATCAGAAGTTTGTACATACATACATAGATACAAGAAAGACTTCAGCAGTACATGAGGTGAGAATTTAACCTAACATAACCTAATCAGAAACCAAGCTAAGAGTCCCTAATCTAACTTGCAACTAGGATCAACTTAAACTAACTGAATTTAGACTGAAAAAGAATATGGAAAATAAGAATTAAAAACAAAGTTGAAAGGCAGCTATATATTGATGTCGAAACAAAGCAAGGGAAAGCTAATTGCCTTTCGTGCCCCTGGAGTGAGTGGTCTCAAGAGTCTCACTAAGGGATGTGAATGCGAGTAGATGATGGAACATTGCACATGTGTGAATGAGTTGATGCAGGTTGCAAGGCCAATTGTACCCTTAAAGTCTGGATATAGTTAATTGAGGCCTCCTGCCCCTAAGGTTTCCATATCTGGTCTCAGATTTCATCTATCTAACTCCATTCTCGAGATTAAGGTAAGACAGACGGAAACAGTGAAAATATATGTCTACAATTTTTTCAAATTGCAGCCCAATAACTCTTAACATTCAAAACAGCTCAATAATTTACAAAATAAGAGTTCAAAGATTTTGTAAATCACTTCTAGCTGATCAGCTACATACCCATCACATTT